TATTTTGTTGGCTTCAGAAGAAACAGGGTATGAAATGTGCTAAAGCATTACAGTGGTCATTGCAAAATACTGAGGTTTGTATTGCTAGCAACAGTCTTTCCACCAAAGTACACCAATTTCATGCCCTTTATATATATTGTTTAGGTATGCAACTTTTGTTCAATCTCAGTGTGTTACTGATGACCTGGAAATGCAGTGTCAGAAGGTGGTTATTGAAAACACTCAGCTTTAAGAAAATTTGTTTTATTGGTTTCTAAATTCCTAGAGGAACAGATTGATTTAACCAGTAAATGTGTGAGGATTTTTCTTCATAGTAATTTTTAATGAAGAATACAGTGAAGGGAAAGATAAAATTCTCATCCTCTAAATCTTAGAGTTTAGTATGGGAGGTAAGCCATGTATCATTAGAGATATGCCAGTGATACAAGGACAAAGTTGTATAGGGTAAATGACCAAGAGAGGAGTTCAGGGAGTTCAGGAGTTTCCCCTGAGATATCAAGCAAAGCTTCATGTGTTATAAATATGCCTTAAAGTATGATTAAGAAACAAGGACCTGATGGAAGAAGGGCTGTCCCAACAGAGAGTTAAAAAAAACCAAAGGCAACACCATGGCTATGGCAAGCTATTTATGAAAAGCCAGTCATCCTGATAGTAATGGTCAAGTTTATAATAGTACTTGTGATAGGGTTAAAGGAGTTAGTAGACTTCCTTACATCATGTTAGATAAGAGATTCTTCAATTTCTACCAAATTTTAAATTGTGGTGATATGTTTAAGTATACGATATTATATGAATTCTCTTAATGGGCAGAATTTTAGGATTTTGTTACACATTGTTATTTTTAATTTTTCAAGTTATTCATTCATTTATCTAACAAATGTTTATTAATTTCCTATTACAGGGAGCTTACATTCTGGGAGTTTATATATGGAATGTCAAATATGAAACATCCAGATCAGTGGTGTGGGTCTTAATAATTCATGTTGGTTATCTATGCTTACATTACTCCTGCCAAACAAGAATAAAAAGTGTGTGTGCGTGAAGGCAGACATATTTGAACTACATTTCACTAGAACTTTCTAACTGTAAATAAAATTGCAATACAAAAGAGAGATATCTTTTGCATCTTGAGTGTGGAGGCAATATGGTTTGTGGAATCATGGGTTTAAATTTTGCCTTCAAACCTGTAACATTTTTAAACAAATCACATAATTTTTGAACGTCTGTTTTGGATTGGGGATATTGCTCTACTTGCAGGCTGCTGTGAAAATTTGATCATGTATACATACAATTCTTTGCATGTAATAGATGTTCAAAAAACTATTTCTATCATGACTCATTATCACCTGCTTCAATGGTAGCAAATATTAATTTGGTATTACAATTCTCTCTTTGCATTATTTGTTCCCTCACAAGACTGTCAACTCCTCCAGAGACTCTCCTCCACCTCTCTTTGAATCCTCAGCACATAGCACACAGTAAGCACTGAATACATGTAGGAAAAAAAACAGTGTACTCTTTCACTGGTTCTCTATCTCCTGTCATGTATATAAGATTGTATTGATAGAATATGCTCAGCTACATCAACATATCTAAAATCTAGGGTATTGCTAATAGGAAAAGGACATGCCATTTCTCTCTTGTAGAGCCGAATGTAGCTGACCAAGTCATTTTCTTCAGGTGTCAGTTTATGTGTGGGTTTATGGTGTTATTTACATTTGACTTATACATAAAATACATATATTACTTAAAAAGCACCTTTTTAAGGTATATATAAAATAGTTACTTTTGGAATATAAATATTTTGGATATAGGTAGAGGAAGTAAATATTTCTATTTGTAAAGATATTCTGTCCTAATGACTGGGGACAGAAATAAGGGGGCCAAATCATATAGTCATTTATAACAATAAGAAACAAGTTGCATAATAAAACATTCTAAAAAGTCATAAGAAAAAAATTACACATCTGTATTAGTTAGAATTTATTTGGTCTTAAAATGTAGCAATTTTTTAAAAATGTGAATATCAGGTGGTTTTAAAAACTGCAAGTAAAATGTGCCTCAGTGCTGGTCAGTGTAGTCACTTTTCCATGACAGCAGGCATCAGGAGGCCATAGACTTGGGAAGAATTTGGAAACATGAATATTCCTGATCAGATTTTCAATGTCTGTTTTGTTCATCATTGTCCTAACAACTAGCGCAGTGGTCAGGGAACAGTATCTACTCTAATATTTATTGAACTCATGGTCATCCCTTTGACTTGTCTTGTGATTTTTGTATACCACCTGTGAAGACAGTGTAGTTTGTTCGCAATCTGCATGGCAAACCATTTTACCACACTGAAAACAGGATCAGAGTTGAGAAACAAGAAAATTGAAGTTATAATAAAAGAAGCTTATGCATTTTTAAGCCACTGTTTAACATGTATTGCTTTAGCAAGTGGCTAAAATGTAATTTAAGCTATGAAGCGTATGAACAAACAGTAAGCTTTGCAAAAAGAACATGAAATTACAACATCTTTCCATTCTAATGGATCTCTGTTTTCAAACATTACTTGATTTATTTCTTCTAATATATAAACATTTCTTTTGGTATCTTAGTTCTAAAATCTAAAAAATGAAATATTAGTAATTATTTCAGATTCTGGCTTATTAACTAATTCTAACTAATTCTACTAATAGATGTGACTATCATCTAAATCTGCTGCTTTTTTTCACAGTTTTAAATATTTCCCTTATCGATATCTATTAATATGGCTCCTTCGGTAAAGTCTTTATGACTTAAGTAAGCTTCTTTCTTTTCATTTTTAATTAGAGACATAACTCAGTTCAATATTTTGAAGTTTCCATTAAGTTTTCTATTTCCTTCATTTCTCCCTTTGTTCCATTATACCTTAGAGGTTCTTTTTTTCCATCTACCATAGGATTTCTTTTTCTGTACCGTAAAAATGAGCAGTTACGAGGCTCCTTTTTTCAGGTTAGCAGACTATAATTATACGTCTACCAAAATTGAGGACTTGAAAACATCTTCCCAGTCTTCCAGAATCATAAAATATCCTCATTTGCCTTGACCACCATATATTATTATTTCCCAAATATAACAACTCTTTCTGAAAACATTTGTTATAATATTTGTTGCTGCTGTTGTTGTTTTGATGTTTAAAAATCCTTTTTCCTTCATCTCCAATGACCTTGAATCAATGGAGGCAAGTTTGCTGCTGCAGTCCTGCCCTTAGAACCTGAGAAGAGAGAAGGCATCTCTGGGCCTCCTACTTTGGAGGGCTCATTCTGGCTGTCCTCCAGCTGCTGTCCTCACATGAAGCAGGAGTCCAAAGCCTGAGGGAATGTGTCCATCTAAAAACCACATCCCACTTTTGGGTCCCTGGGGCCCTGGAATTCCCTGTCCAAACTGCCCCAGGCCCACTTCTCGGGCCTGTATTGGGCATGTCCCATGTCCATCCTCAGAAGGCCACACTACTCCACTAGTGTTCATAACCCTAGACTGAGGTGTGGCCAAAGGTTAGCTGTTAGTGGGTGATGCAGATGCAGCTGTATCTTGGATGTGCAGTCCAGTTCCCTCACAGTGAACAAAGGAGCCAGAGCTGAAAAATGGGGTGAAGGTGTGGGTCTTCCCCCACCACCATGTTCCCATATGGAACTCCAGGAGTCTAAGAATGCTAAATTCTTATTTACCTACCAGATCATTATGGAGGTAAATTGTCAATGTAAGAGGACAGGAATATTTTTGTTAGGAGTTCGTTAGCTCGATTTATAGTTTTCAAATAGCTATTCATATGGTATGTAGGCTTCCATTTGTACTCCTGTCCTGGATCCTGAAAATGTTTAGGAGTGGAACTTCTTGGCCAGTAGTTCTTTACTGCTGAGGCCAGAGATGGGGACCTTGATGGATGAGCTGAGGATTCATCCATTCAACCAGATGGATGAACTGTGGATTCAGATGGTGGATCCTCAGTTTAAAGGATCCACTTTAAACTCAGATGGTGATGCTCAGAAACAATGTTTTAAAATATAATTAGGCTGAAGTCCACTGGAAAGCCCCTCATTCTCTTTTTTTCATTCCTTTCCTGGTCTTAGATGAATGCAAATTGAAGGAGTTGGTAAACAGTAGGTAGTTATGGGGGACGGATGGCAGAGAGTGGGGACTGACCACAGAAAGCAGATGCTACAGGATTCTGGCTATCCTCACTAAATGTCCACTATTCCACTAGCATGTGTATAATATTTGTAGTGTTTATATATGGATGCGTAATATGTCAAGAGTTTGTGGCTTAGGAGAATGAGCTATAATTTGAGAATCAGTGAGCTGCTATACTTGTATTGTGACTCATGATCCATTGGCATACTTATAACAAATTATCTATGGTACTGTTACTTTCCACATGTCATTTTCGTTGATTTACAACATAGCCTTCTCCCCATTGTTGCACGAAAGTTTGAAGTGAAAATAGTGAATTGGACTTTTGAGTCCTCATGAGGAAAATAATGTGTAAAGGGTCACATGCTTCATACATATTCCCATGCATGAGATTGGTCTTCCCCACACATAATGTCATACTCTTTTTTCCATTCAATAGATATGGTAAAGAAAACCATAGCATTTTCTTGTCCAGTTGACTAAATTCATGCTGAATCACTCAATTTGTAAATACATACAGTACATATACTTAGAGCCAATGCCTACATTTATACATTCTTGGGATTTGGAACCTAATGTTTTGGGGGATGTAAAAGGATTGTCAGTAGGTGATTCTCCTATCCTTTTCAAACCTAGAGTCAGAAATAACAACAATAAGTAGGAGTAGTGGCTATCAAAGAGGGATATAGCACATTAAGATGCTACCTACCTGAAAAATGTCAGAAAAGAAAGGTCATCAGGGTTTGCAGTTCTTATTCATGGTTACTTCAGTTACACCTTAGTCTCTTTTTCCTCTTCAAAAATCTCCTTCATTAACACAGAGCTGGTTCCTGTCTTTGCTCTAGGTATCATTACTATGGGATTGGCATCAAAGAGAGCAGTGCATATTACCACTCCGTTTATTCTGGAAAAGGCTTGACAAGGTAGAGTTACACCATCTTCAAGACAAATTCTCTGTGTTTCTTTAAATATGCATGATACCTATTGAATAAAATGACTTCTTAATTTTCCTTATCAAAATGTTTCCATTTAAGCATCGGACCTTAATGTCCACTTTGTGAGGATGATTATATAATCTAGATTCCTGGGCAAATTATATAACTTGTCATAATTAGTGAGAAATTAATTGTGTACTAGGTGTTCCAGAGAGATGAAGAGGAGAAATCAAGTAAGCAGAATTGCTTTTAAATTAGTATTTACTAATAAAGCAAAGTCTATTTTCAGATTGGATTCAATAAAATAAAGGCAGTAAATGTAAATATAATTTTTTTTCCGAGACAACCTGTTTTAAAGATCTATGGGCTTCACTAGCACCTTAACAAGATAGAAAGTTTATTGTAAGAATCTCTAATCACATATACTTTGACCATGATCTTACCTTACGAAGGTGAAACTACTGACCTGTTTGGGTTTCTATGAAAGGTAAAACATGAATGAAAATAAGCAGCACATTGCTCTAAGCCACTGTTAACTATCATGGGGATATTAGTAAGTGAGGTTACGTCTAATGAAGCCAATGATAACACATCATTCGTTTTTTAAACTGAAACTCAGAATAACTAGATCTGTATCCGAGATTGCCTTGTGGTATAATTTACCAGTAACTGCTCTTAGCTCTTAAAAGAAGAAATTATTTTTGAAAGTAAAGTATCTTTTGGATAAAAAACGTTTAGTCACTGAGTCATACTAAGATAAATTTAGATATTACAAGGAACATAAGGCTGCTTACTAGCCACCACCCCACTATAAAATGTAAATATAGCCTGGAACACACACACATGTTTAATAGCAAGTGTCCTTTACTTGTCTCAAATCTCACCTGACTTTTAAAAATATTATTCATTTTACTTTTTTTCTTTTTTATTTATTATTATTATACTTTAAGTTCTAGGGTACATGTGCATAACATGCAGGTTTGTTACATATGTATACTTGTGCCATGTTGGTGTGCTGCACCCATCAACTCGTCATTTACATCAGGTATACTTTTTTTCTAAAGAACTTATTTTGTTTTAGTAAGTTGAGAAAGATGCTTGAGTTCTTTTAAAAAAGCAAATTTCTCCAGCTTATTTCCCTAATCATGGTATGAAATTACTGCTTCTTTAGGTTGTCTACATATCACTGAATGCTATAGCTGTAATTTTGTTTGAACTGAACTAATGGAAAATGTTCTAATTTTTTAAGGTTTTCTGGAAGCAAGCTAAAGAATGAGGTAAGAATTCTTTTCATCTCGATTTTACATCTGCTATAATATGTCTCACAAGCTGAACAATACATGTTAATTATTCCCTTTGGCAAATGTAGAAATAAATGTTATTTATTAGGAATCCCTTGACAAAGGACTTCAGATACAGCTCAGTTAGATTTGTGACAACAAATGAATCTTTGCCTGGATCTACCAAACAACTTTCAGTTAACCTAGGAGAGATACATTTTTAATTATCTTTACCTAATATCAGATACTTACAAGACTGTAAAAAAAAAAGACTATCATTTATCCAGAAAGTTTTCACTTAAATATAAACAAAAAGCTTAAGCTGAGGATATGGAAAGAATTGGTCTTTGGACTGTACCCATTTAGACAAAACATCTATTAGTTATCAAGGAGCCCAAATGCTATGCTACACTATGGTTTGTTTTGCTACCTTGTGTACACACACATACACACACACACACGCACACACACGTACACACGTGTATACAATCTTTCTCCCTAGGCTTCCTCTCCACCCCCTCCTTCAAGAACAGACTTTATCTAAATGAGTTAGACTACCATCAGGGACTGCATGGCTAATTAGACACATGATAAGGCCTTCATTATCCTCAAGTTAACTAATCATTAAGAAGAGATGCTGCCAAGCTAAGGGCACATGACCATGTGTTGTGTAGTAAATCTGGACCTGAGGTAAAGTGTAACTCCATTAGTTTGGTGAAATGATGCAAGCATATTTTAAGAAATAATATGAGGCCCCCAACCCACTAAATGGCCAATTTCTTTCCACCAGTGCTTTTAATACAGTTAATGGCTAATTACATAATAAAAATCCTCCAGATTGCTCTTTTTATCAATGAAATAATAGCTCTTTATTAGATAAACAATTGTGAAACTGCAAAAATATTGACTTAGAGATACACTTTGGTTGAGTAAAGTTTATGTCAATAGGGAATTTAAATAATTTCTCTCAGGTGTTCTTTCTACTAGTTTGATGAGGTTGGTGGTATTAGCAAGCCCTCAGCCGATAAATGGCAAGCCTTGTTTCATGGAACAAGAGAAAAATATTTCTCAGGTCTACTTTTTTCTTCTTAGAAGAGGATGCTACAAATGCTGTTGTAGATTTTATTACTAAAATTAAAATAAAATATTCTGATTAAACTCTATAGCCTAACCATTTTCTGTGGATACCTGAAGGCAATAATAGTGTACCATTACTTTGATGGTTATAGAAATTAACACAACTAAGAGCTTTCTAAAGGCTCAGAACTACTCTAAATATGTTTAAAATGATAATAAAATATTTTCATAACACAATTGAAATTTTTTAAAAATTATTTTCTTTGGGAGGCCGAGGTGGGTGGATCACTTGAGCCCAGGAGTTCAAGACCAGCCTGGCCAACATAGTAAAATGCTGTCTCTACTAAAAATACAAAACATTAGTTGGGCATGGTGGTACATGCCTGTAATCCCAGCTACTCAGGAGGCTGAGGCAGCAGAATCGCTTGAGCCCAAGAGGTGGGGAGGTTGCAGTGAGCCATGATTGTGCCACTGTACTCTAGCCTAGGCAACAGTGTGAGACCCTGTCTCAAAAAAAAAAATTGTATTTAGGGTGACCAACCATCGTTGGTGTGCTCAGACACAAGATTTTCAGTGCAAATCTTCATATACATCAGTTCATTTGAATATTCAAAACTGTGAGGTATGGTGTCAGCATATTTACAGCTAAGAAAAATGAGGCTGAGAGATGTATTTGCTTTTCTAAGAGGTCAGAGAAAGATCCTATTTTTTTAAACCCATGGTGAAGATATTAATTAACAGATATATGATATTACAGGTACTAGGGAACAAAATGGTGAATGAAGAGATTTGGTCCTGCCCTTCCAGAGCTTTACAGTATAGCAGGAAAGTATATCTTGAACAAGTAATTTTAAGAAATTCTAAAGGGTGTCATGGGAGTAACTAGGTTTAGGGAGTTAAGGACATTCTTCACAGGAAGTGATATTAAGGAAATAACTGAGAATATAGTGGTAGTTTGGAGGAGGAGTGGAGTAGGGGAAGAGAGAAGAAGAGTGGTTAAGACAGATGGAATAGCATAGGCCAGGGTTTCTCAGCCTCCATACTATGGAAATTGTGGTTCAGATAATAATGTTTATGGAATATATCAAGTATATTGTAGGATGCTTAGTAGTATCATATCTCTGGCCTCTACCCATTACATTCCAGTAGCAGGCCCCCACCCCCTTGTCGTGACAACCAAAATGTCTCTGACGTTGCCAAATGTCAACCACTGGCATATGTGAAGGCAAGCAGAGGTGCATCACATTGTAGAAAAAATAAAAAAAATTATGCATACCATAGTATAGAATGAGGTAGAGAGTAAAATAATAGGTAGAGGCTGGATTGTGTGTAGTCTCATTAGGTTAAGAATTCTGTAATGGGAAGCCACTAAAGGAGAGTTACGCCATCAGACTTGTGTTTTACAAAACTCATTCTGACCATGACATGGAGAATACATTAGAAGAGTGTAAGGCAGGAATCCAGTAGATCCATTGGAGGCTATCTGGATAGTCTGTGTAAGAGAAGATCTGGACTAGAATAGTAAGCCTAGGGATGGAGAGAAGTAACTGATTTTAGCTGGGTAATATTGAAGGGGAAGCAGGTAGAAAGAGTAAAAAGATAACGGGTTTAATTTGGGACTTGTCATATTTGATGTGTTTGTGAAACATTTAACACAAATTTTAAGTGGGCAGTTGGATATATGTGATTGGAAAAGAGGACTTCAAGATTTAGTTTGATGGTGATTGAAGCCATGGTAATGGATAAAAACACTTAGGGAAAAAAATGAATGAGAAGACAAGAGGTTACCAAAAAACAGTTGTGAAAAATGAGAGGAAGAGCGTCAGAGAGATAATAGAGGAGAGTCTAGAGTGGTAAGAAAAGAAGGAGGAGAATACAGTGTCGCAGGAGTCAGGAGGAAAAAGTGCTCCCTACGGAAAGGAATGCTCAGATGGTGCTGAAAAGTCATCAACATAAGGAGTGGAAAGGATCCATGGAATTAGTTAAGTGGAGATAACTAATGATTTCAGGGAGAGCCTTTTCAGTGGTGAGCTGGGGTTTGGTTTGTGAAATGAGTGGGAAGTAGCATTGAATGTAGAACATTTAGTCAAGTTCAGGGTGATAACTGGAAAAGGACTTGGGATTTGGGATTTTTCTGGTTTTGTTTTTGAGACAGAGTCTCTCACTCTGTCACCCAGGCTCGTGCGCAGCGGCACAATCTTGACTCACTGCAGCCTTAACCTCCTGGGCTCAAGTGATCCTCCCACCTCAGCTTCCCAAGTAGCTGGGACTACAGGCACACACCACCACACCCAGCTAATTTTTTGGAATTTAGTTTTGAAGGATGATTAGACTAATGTCTAATGCTAATAAAACAGATACAGGAAAGAGTGAAGACTGAAAATATTAAAGAAAGGAAAGTTGAGAGCACAAGGTCACTGAGGAGGTCAGATTAGAGGAATTGGCACTAGAGAGGAGGAGCAGTGCTTCCATGAAAACTAGAAAGAGAAAGGGTAAGTTCGGATGCAAGCAGATTTGTAGATTTTTTTGGCAAAAAGTTGTGGTAGCTTCTGTTTGGTAGTTTTGCATTTCTCTCAGGAATGGTAGTGTAGGTCATGTGCTGTGGCAAAAGTCAGGGAAAGAAAGTAGGAGTTTGAGGAACTTAAAAGAAAGTCCTAGCTATTCCCAAGCAGGTTTCCTAGAGAGAATGTAGCCCTAATGCCCTAAGACACCCACTGAATATAAGGAATAAACTCTTTTATGCATGAGTGTTTAGAATGGTATTGATTAAGCACTATCCTTGAGAGAATTGACAAAATGGTTGTTCAAATCATTTTCTGTAGGACTTAATTTTCTCACTGATTTATTGAGATAGGTAGCAACAGTCTTTGTGAAGACAAGAAAGGTAGAAGATTGTAAAATTCTGGTATGAGCCAGAAGAAATGCAAAATATTCAGGAGCAGTTATAATAAGAGAGGCACACCGCCTTTTTGGAAAAAAACGTACAAGTGTAAAAGAAAACTACAAATGAAATGACATACCATATGCCTGGATAGGAATGCTAGATTATAAATACTCCAATTCTTCCTAAATTAATTTAGACATTTTATATTCTAATGAAAATTTGAGTGGGTGATTAATTTTTGGAGATGAATATGGTTACAAGCTTAATCTAGAAGAATATACAGGAAGTAATAGTTAAGAGAAATGTAAACAAGAAGAGTGAAAAGGGAATTTGTCTGCCACATATCAAAATATTATGACATTATGAGACTGAGTCAACTGTAGATGGAACAAATCTGCAGCAGAGATAGGGTACCTGACAAAAGACCCTAGTATTTATAAGGTTTTAGCATATGACCAAGGAGAAATTACAACAAATGAAGAAAGAAAATATTTCTCTGTGTCCTTTTTGGAGAAAGGTGGAGTACTATATAAATAAAATTATTCAGGGGATAATGTTAGAAAAATTGACTATTTTGCAAAAAAATTTCTATACCTCACAACTTAACAACTTATGTGAATTTCATCTAAACAATTAAATATAAAAATAATACTTAGGAGGAAATATATATATCTATCCCATGTCTGGAAGGAGTTATTCACTTTCTAAGTAAAAAAGCAGTTTAAGAAATTTCATAGGAAAAAGAAAAACACAGAGTTGGAAACTTCTTCATATCAAAAGCATCATGTACAGAATTTGAAGTCAAAGGAAAAACTGGGGGAAATACCTTCAGCAAATACGACAATAAAATTATATCTGTAGTACATAAAAATCCTATAAAAATATGAAGAGCACAATAAGTAGTAGAAGATGTGAATAGATGATTCACAGGAGAAAGAAAAAGCTGATAAATGCATGAAGAAAGGATTACCAAATAAACAAAAATTAAGATATCATTTTACAATATGAAACTATCAAATATTTAAAAATTATTGTG